TTTGGTCAGGCACATTCTAGCCAGATTATTTGTTGATTCTACCGGTCAGGCAGTAAACCAAGTGGCTGTGGGTAATGAAAATGACTATAAAAATCTGATTAATTCCAAATAAATTCATGATCTAACAAGTATTTTCAGGCACTGAATATGCCCGAGGTTAGATTCTTGCCTGACTTCAAGCTTTAAATTAATTACAATTTTCAGATTGGAATAATATCAATATTCAGATATACGTCTGTGTGTGCCTCATCTCTTTATTATAAACAGTTCTGTTTTTCAGTATATTCAGTATGATAACAACAAATGGATTCTTTAAACAGATGGTAAAATCTTTTTACTCTACTAGTTTCAGTACCAGTGTCTCAGTGGCCCACTAGATGTTAGTTTACAAAACTTAGTGAAATAGAGCAGGATGATCATGCTATTTTTTTCCATAGGTATTAAGTACAATTTATTCCAAATCCACAATATGTTTCATATAAGGAAACTACAGCTGCTCTTTTCTTTATTAGTCTTCACATTAACTAATGGTTCACTTAGTTGATACTCTGAAATAAACGTTATTGCATATTTCAAATTCTTTATACATATCATCAATAATACAGATTGAAAATAGAGGCTGGAATCCCAAATGAAACACAAGATGCATGTTTTTTTTTTTTTTTTTTGTTTCTACTTTTGAATTCTATGGTTTACGACAGTATGCAGCTGACAGCAAGTGCTGCTCCAGCATGCAAATTTCTATGTCTGCCTAAGCCAACACCAGCATGGCATTCACCGTCTTCCAACAACTGTGTTCCAAGCACATTTTATGTTATTTTAATGTCTCATGTTCTCCGTCTCCACAGTGTACCTTTTCATTAGCTTAACACTGACGCTATTCACGTAGCTACAACCTTGTCGGCACTTGACAACAAATGAGCCATCGTAAGCTCTTCTTTGCTTTTTAGTCCTCAGCCCACTCCTTGTAAACTTCCTATTTATTAAATGGATTTTGCTACACAATATTATTATTTTAAAAAAAAAGTTATATCTTGGAAAGTCATGGGGTCACCCTATTCAGCAAATTAACAACAAAAAAAAAAAAAAAACTGCAACTATTTCCTGAGCCTCGAAATGGTCTCACTGTCTGGGTCAGTAGGCTACACAATCATGGGGAAGACTGCTGACTGGACAGGTGTTCACCAGACAATCGTCAGCACCCTTCGCAAGGATAGGGAGCCACAAATAGCTGCAAATCATTCCTGCAGCGGCTGGTTGTTCACAGAGCTGCTGTAGCTGAGCATATTCATTGAAAGTTGAGTGGAAGGAAAAAAATGTGGCAGGAAAAGCTGCAGCTGGAGTTTCAGGCTTTAGAGGAAGACACTGAGTTACAGGTTTTCATAATCTGTAAGCTATAATTGTAAAAAAGACAAGACCTAATGAAATTTTTTCTGCTGTGTAATTAATCTTTTAATTAATCTCTTCTGAAATGCAGGACAAAAAAAAAAAAGTAACATTTTTTATGATATTCCAGTTTTTTCAGATAAAGGTTGATTTTATTTGTAATGCCCTTTATTTTAAATTGAGATCTCAAAGGATTCACACATTGAAGTAGCTGTGGCTACTGGATTGAAGCCGCAAAGCAAGGTTGCAATTTTGTACCATCACCAGCCACTACACCACCAGCAGGCAGACCAGGAATCGAACCGGCGACCCACCAATTGCAGGGTAAACAACTGCCACAGTCACCCCAATGTACTTGATTAGACAGCAAAAATGTTTATGGACACTTTCTTCACATCAAATATTTTAGAAAGATTTGACATGATTATTAAAAATTGCTTTCTTTTTTCATCCTCTCACACATGTTGTGACCAAGAAGTGGTTTTCCTCCCCTTACTACATTTTCTCTCGACGCCAAAAATTATTTACTTTAAATGTTTCTGTTTTACATATTGTTTTTATGTGATCTTTTTAGATAAATTTTGGTTTCTCATGAGGAGCACAACTGAAAAATATTAGGTATGTATGCAAACATCCAGTGCTCTGTTCAGTACTGTTCACTTTACTTATTGTTGAAAGGAAGAACAATGGATTACATTTGTGCCTTATGTCTTAATTTTATTTTTATTTTTTTTTGCACAGATTTCAATTTTCTTTCCTAGCTAGATGAATATTTCAAGGAGGAAAGAGCTTTAATAGAGTGCATTTTTGAGTTGGTGGATGTTGTTTCTCTGTATGATTGGTTTGCCGGGCTCCATGCTTGGAGTACTTGTGCTGCGGAGTGGCAGAGAGAGAATGGCCTCCGTCCAGCTGAGATAATGGAATTGGTGTGTTCTCCCTGAGCTGTGCTCCTGGCTGGAGTTAATTCTGTTAATAGCATGGGCTTCTACAGTCAAACCCTTTCGCTGGCTTGGGCAGTACTCAGCCAACACAAGAGGTGGCTTCTGTAAGGTGGCTGATGAATGTATAATGGATTAACTGGAAAGTGGTGCATACAACTTTGATTGTTCTCCAAGCTGCTAATGTCTAATCATGAAGGACTTGGCTTTCCATTTTTAAGTCGAAAAGCTTTTCATGCAGGACCAAAAGCATTAGGAATTTCCTGAAATGAGTGCCGCTCTTCCAACTCAATACTTCTACTGTAACAGTCAGGAGCTGTGCCGTGTGACACACAGTGTCTCTCTGGGATTTACAGACCACCCCTGCAAACAATTAGCCATGCTCATTTGCAAATCTTGTAACGTAAAGAAGATAAGATTAGCTGCAAATTAAAGACAATTTCTTCCACAGATACAAGAAAATGTAATCAAACCTTTTCTAGGTGTAGTCAATATTTATTTGCCTTAAGTGGTGATGTCACTGGGCATGTAGAAATTACCTAAGTCTATGGAAGAAAAGAAATAAACAAGTATCAGGATGGTAAGGTTGTGGTAAGGAAACAGCTGATCCTTTGGGATTGACAGACACACCGTTTCAATGATTACCAGAGAATCGACGTGAAAATCGGGGAAGAAAAAAAACCCTTTGTAGTTTCCTGGTAATAGTGGAGGTCAGAGACGAATTGCCTAACCTCCTGAGTAAACAGTAGACCTCAAATGCCTTCATCCTGCTGTGGTGTGATTTATATAATGACCAAGTCAGAACGGAGGGGTTAAAGTTGGCTGACTATTGTTGTGTTTTTGAGGAAAGTAGAAAGCAGTCTCAGAGCTGAAGGCATTCAGGTTTGTGAAAGTCAGATGGCATCCATTTAACACACATATGGTAAATCTGTAGATATTTCTCATTGCTAAAATACATCTTGATATGGTCATTACCAAATCTGCATCAATGCAGGGCCAGGAACGAGCTGTCAACCCACGTAATCTTTTTTTTTTTCCCTTTCCATTTTCATGCAAATATAAAGCTGCATGGTAAGCTACACCCAACTGTCATAGAAAAAAAATAAAAAAGAAGATGTTGCTATGGTAATTTGTTGTCAAAACACTGAGGAAGACTTTATGTCAAATAAAGTTTTAGTTTTACTAGTTTTTCAGTCTTAATGAAGCATAAGCCACTTTTCCATAGTGAGTGGCAATACATTGCTTACGAACAATTCATTTATGTTTTGCACAACAGCAGAAAATTCTGTTTTAACTAAAGACTTAGCAAAGACCAATACTTGTGAAGTTAACAAAAAAGAAGTAGTTTACACAATGATGCAAATTTAAACATTATTTTCTACAGAACATATGTTTTATTCTTTCATACTTTCAACCTCTAGCCATGCTGGATTTGTATGTTGACAGCCCTTTAAAGTCTAAGTTAAGGAAAGAATCTACATTCTCTGGGAAATACGCATAGAAAGCAATGCTCTTGTAATACTAACTGTAGAAATTATAATAATGACTAATAAAGGATTCTAAAAACGTTTTTTTTTTTAAATAGACTATTCCTTCAGATTTTAATAGATCTCTGTTTTCATAAAAATAAGTAATTTGCTATTTACAGTACAGACAAATATTTACAGTAATATTCTTTTTCTAATATTAAAGACAAATTGCCCAAAATCAATCAAAGCTTTAAAAAATAAAAAATAGATTGCAAATTGACAACACAATCTGTGCAGTTTCAATTATTTTTCTCATAGTTTCTGGTGTAAAACTACATTAAATGTTTGCTGTTGATGCCAGAAATGCATATAAATAATACATTACACCTGGATATGCCCGAGTCCAGCTCTTATTAGAGCTGCCAAGCCTGTTCTCAGTGGAGAAAGAGAATATGAACAATTCTCACTTGTTTGGACTTTGGTCAGAATATGAAGTCGGCGTAATGTGTACACACTTGAGAGGAAATCTCGCATAATCTTCACCTCAAGTTAATTACTGCAGACAAACATTATAGATCACCAGAGACTCTTATCACCGACTGCTTCAACACTGGGAAGATTTGGCCCACATCTGATATGATATAAAACTCCAAATAATCTTTGCAACAAAACAATGTTTGCCTTATTGTCAAATTCGTTCCTTCTTCTACAAGCAGATCTGAAGGAGATGGATGTACATTCTCTCTAATTACAGCAATTATTACGCAGCGATGGTGTAACAAGCTCTCAAACAATTACCCCTTCTCTCCTTTCCTGTCTATCTCTCCCTCCCACGCAGTCAGTCGAAGTATTTCATCGCACAAATGTGTCTGCCATTAGGCCGGCTCATGAGGGAAAAATACAAGCATATCATTCATTACAGTGCATGCCAGCGTCGAAACTAAACGCAACCAGAACCGGGGAGCCAACTTAGTTCCTGCTGAGCACAAGATGTTGGAATGTTGACACTCTCTATTAGGTAAAATTTACAGGGCTGCTGACTAAAGTTGTATTTATCACAAAAAAAAAAACAAAAAAAAGAGGAAGGAAAATACAGCCTGGAGTGCAGGGAGGCAACCACCTCGAAAATACTGTAGGATTCCACTGCCTGTTCTGCCGCTGCAGAGACAGTGTTCAATAAATAAGGAAATCTACATAGTGATTTTCACGAGGCATGTTTACTAAAATACTTTACTATTTACAGCAGTGGCAGTGGCCTAGGGTTACGGGCCGTGTGTCTGTGCTCATACAGCTGGCAGCTTCAATGTACCAAACAGCGCAGCCTTGTCTTCTTGGCCTCAGAGTCGATCTGCAGCAGTTTGTTTCATGCCCTGCTCAGGGGCATTTCAGTCTAGTAGGGTGACAGCTGCGAGGTCAGTCCTCCACCAGATTTTTTGACCATATTTCCTGCTAGCAAAGCAGTTTCTTTTTTTTTTTTTTTTTTCATGATTTTTGCCTTCTCTCAGCAGCAAATCTTAAACTCAACCACATCTGCATCACACTTGGGCAAACAGACAGCTTTTCCCCATGACTCACATTTTGCACGGATGTTTTTACATAGACTATTCTCAATATGCAGCATAGCGCATATTACACTTCAGCATGAAAGGAAATGTTTTAAAAAAACAATGTTCAAAAAGTGATTCCTCTTGAGAAATACTTGGATTGTCATCAAAGTGCTTTCCTCTGGTTAGTCCCCATCTCCAGTCTGGTATTTTTTTTGTGTGCACTGCCAGCGACTGTGGTGGGCCTGTGGGGGGTGGGGAGTGAAAAGTAAGTACAATGGACAAAGGCACGTGCGGCACCTTACATTCATTTCTTCTCTACCCCACAGCTGTTATTGTATGAAAGTGCTGTCGACAGCTTTTGCTCCGTGCGGAGAATTCTCAAACAGTGGGAAACATACCTGCCTGTTTTTTCCCCCCCACATGGAATCAGTGATGCCTGAATATTTAAAGGAGGGACAAAAACAAATGAAAGGCTTCCTTAGATCTTCTAAAATCTCACTTTTGTCACTTAACAATAGAATACGGTGGGACTTTAAAAACACTTTCATAACCTACAGTGATATCTCCTGAGATGCATTGTTTTTTTTTAATCTTTCATCAGGGATGAAGAAACAGAAAAAGTACAACAAAATGAGAATATTCATAATATTTTATATAACATGGGACTACAACTATATTTAAGTGAAATCAAATGGTAGTATCTTGTATTACATTTTGCATTAATTTGCCAATTTCCAGCGATTTTAGAAACAGATGTCAAAGAACTCAGTTTCAATGTCTTGCAAAAGTCTTCCCAACCCTTCACCCCTTAAAGCCTTTTCACGTTTTGTTGCATAAAAACCACAAACATCACTGGAATTTATTGAGATTTCCATTTGATAGATCCAAGTAAGTGAATAATGCTAAGATGGGAAGGTTGTAACTGGTTTCCCAAAGTTTTCACAAATAGCAATCAAAACCTTTAGTCTGCATTTCTACCAAATATGCACATCTGCAAATAAACATTTCTATCAGTTCTTTGCAAAATAGCTGAAAGTTGGTCAGACTGAATAGACAGCATTGATGAACAGCAATTTCTAAGACTTGCCTAAGTATTTATACCTCTTAAAACGTTCCACAGATTGTCACAATGTAAACACAAACCTCAACATATATTAGTGTGATCCAATTATTCATATTTGGATTTAAGTCATTTACAGCCTACATCTGACTGACCTAGCATTCCAGTCTTGCTGAAGAGTTGCATCCTCACAGCATATAGGTGCCACCACTATGCATCACGTAATGGATGGTGTGTACAGGGGGATGTGCTGTGTTTGTTTTCTGCCAAATATTTCTGTATGTATGTAGGTCAGAAAGATTAATTTAGTTTTAATCTGACCAGCACACCTTCTGCTAAACGTTTGCTTCCCTGCATGCCTTATGGCAAACTGCTAACAGCTTTCCTCCAACAATGGTTTTCCACTTGGAACTATTATATAAAGGCCAGATTTGAGGCTTGCACATCCAAACATTGTCCAGTTGAAACATTCTCCAACCATGAAAAATGTGCATCATATTCATTCCACCTAATATTTTGTGCAGGTCTCTCATAAAATCCAAATAAAAACATTGAACTTGGACACTGAAAATTTTATTTCAAGGCACAGTAGCCACCCAACCCCAGCTATTTCTTACACAGCAATCTTGGATGGGCTGAGGATAATGTGGTAATTTTGTTCTCTCAACATGTATGCAATACTTCAAGTATCACATACTTAAGGTATCACTGAGTAGCTGCAAGAGCTAATGCTTAGATTAAGTACATCACCAATAGCTATAATACCCCTTTAAACCAAACGAGAATTATTTTAACATGCTCCATTTAACATTATGAATTTTATGACAATTCTTTAAATCATTTGTTTTTAGTTAGTTCTTTCCCTAAAATATCTTGTCCCTTTTCCTCATACCTTATGTATTTTTTTAACTATCAAAATAAAATATATAAATTTGCTTTTAACTATTTTAGTAGCTTGTACTAATTTTATTCTGCACAAATAAAATATACTTTAACTCATAAGCATTTTATCTTTTAACTGTATCCATTGTTTTCACAAAACTGCTATATTGTATCTCTTACACAAAAAATCAACTACAAAACTGAAAAGGGTGCAATGCTCCTTTAATGCTGTGTCTCTATATACTAAGCTTCACACACAGGCAGCCATTACTTTCACACCGAGTGTCTTAAAAATATGGTTTCTCTGTTTTGTTTTGTTTTTTTTTTTTTTTTTTGGAATAACCCATAAAGAAATGTCAATTTTACAAAAAAAAATAAACCAATATAACGTCTTTTGTGTGAGAACCGTTCCAAAAAGTGAAAAATACAATAATTTCAAAGTGAATTCAGTTCTCCTCTAGTTGTTTCTCAGCCTGCTCAACACACAAAGTCCATTAGCATTAGCAGAATCTAGACTCCAGAAATATATCCCGTTTTATACACAATACTAATCACAAACGTGACTCACTAGTTGACTCTTCATTCAAAAACCTCTTCAACTCTTAAGGGATAACAATATAGATTCAGTAAAACACATTCTTACTCACCTGTAATATAGAAAAGATGAGACATGCATGTTGAGCTTCCATTAGCATCTAACAAGACGGCTTATTCTTCTTCTGTGAACCCAACTGTCTCTAGACCACCAATGTGACAGTCGCCCCCTAGCGGCTGTATGTGGACTCGCAGTGAATAAATGAAACTGGATGCTGAAACTTAGTGCTGTCATTTACTTTTAACTTGTTTTTCACCTTTCCACATATTTCTTCTTTTCTAATTCAAATATCTGTAATGTAAAACATAGCAAAGGAAAAAAAAAACTGAATGTAAACAGAAGTTGAAAAATGTGTAGTGACTATTCCTAGCTAATATTGTATTCTTCTCAGACATATTCTTTTAGAAATTCCTTCGATATATTCATTGTGTTATATTGAAATTATAATTAAGTGGTGTAGGAAGACCACATAAACAGTGGGCGACACCCAGATTAAAGCTGAATGAAATACTGTAGCAAGAAAGGTCAGGGTGTTTGTTGAGGTTGAATAACTCCATCAGTGTTTGCTACTTGTTATGTTCTGTATATTCTCTAAATTTGTGATGGAGACGAATTAAGCCTTTGTTTCCTTTTGACTGTTTTTTGGCAGCCATCTGTCTGGGCAACAACATCAGAGCCACCGGCTCAAAGAAACAAACTCAAAGAACAAACTGATAAAGAAGGCGGGTTCCGGGGCATAATGGACAACCTCAAAACAACATATGGCAACTTTTAAATAATGTACAAAGTAATGATATAATTTTCCTTTGGGTATTAAGGAAGTAATATGAAACTCAAATTAAATCAACTTTGCTGTAGCCCTGAGACTGGAAAGAAAAAAAAAAGCCTAATGGTGGTTCTCTTGAGATAATGGAAAATGCTACAACTTCAACTTGCCAAGGTTGGATTTTAAAAACACAAACTACTTTCCAATGACATGGGCCACTTTATTTTGTCTGAAGGTTTCTGTTTGGCTTTCAAACTGTCATGTGAGAGCATACTAGCAAACATACAATCTACAAGCAACTTATTTCATTGGAACATGTTTTAAACAGAATTCCTGGAAAGAAAATAAAAAAGAGAAAAAAAAAAAGCATACTGGGTCAATGGTAAAGATATGATTGAGTTGCCTCATGGGAATCTTCACATTTTCAAGACAGACAAGTTGCACTCTAAATGTTGCTACTATTTGACAGCTTGAATGGTATGGGTTTTTTTCTTAATCCCTTTGATAGAACCTCTCTGCAGGTTGTGTTTTCTTTCTCTCTTCTCTGAAGTTGTTTTGCAGAAATGCTATCTAGAGGCCTTGAGGCCTTCACCTGCAGCCTAATCACACCATTAGTTTTACCCCATGAGTAAATGTGCTTGTTGATGGGTTGTCAAATGTGAAAGTCATTGCTTGGCCTGTAAAAAGTCATCCAATCATATAATTCTCTTGCTTCACTGCCCACTGGGAAATGGCTTGTAAAATATTTAAATATGAAGCTGTTCTGGTCATTTAGGTTGCTTGATTACATGATTTTGTGTTACAGTGGTTTGCATGTAAAGCAACTATTTGCTTGTTCCCCGGATGCTACCAAGATTTAGCCAACTTATGTGTGTATACCATGGTTCCTGTTTCTAAGTGTTATGGGAGCCCTTACTCTCCAAACACACTAAATAGATGCATGTGCATTGGGTACGGGCTGATTGGTGGTCTCAGTTTAAAAATGTTTTCAAAATCACCTATTTTCATGATTTTAGGCCCCCCTCATACTCAGGCGTACTTCACTCCACAGAGGTCTGCGGACTAAACGTGCACTCAAAGCAGACGTCCACAGGACATGTCCACACAAGGATACATTTTTTACAAACTGCGATGTACGTTACACCGAGCTGATAAGGTTGAGAGTTGGTGCAACCAGTAACAAGGACGCACGTCAGCCAGAATGTCACTTTGTGCCACACTAACTGGCCACCCTGGTGTGGAACAAACAGGGCCACAGGTCCAACTAGCCCCCCTAACTTGCCCTGTCCTCTCGGATTGTGGGAAGTGAAGGAATTTGCATACATTTGGTAAGACTATGGTAGGGACTATGAAATCTCAACCATCCACAGATAGTATACACAGAGTCTGCGCGGTGGATAGAATGGAACCCTGTGAGTTTCATTATTAAGATGTCATAAAAAGTGTGAGTCAGCCGCATTTCCTCCTTTAAGATACACTTAAAGGAGGGTATCTTAAAGACGGTATCTTTAAGATACCGGCGTACTTCACTTCCTTGACTGTATTGGGCTACTATTTGAGTATGTTTCCCTTGTTTCTAAGAAATAAAAATTCATTGTGGAAACTTCATGGTTGATGACGTAATGGTATTGTGAAAGTACATCCTAAGCAGGCTAAGCAGAAGAGTGTCGACTGGCTAATTGATCCCATAACCAAGCTAAATAACACGCTCATATCAGTCTGTTAAACTTACAGTGTTATTCTAGAACCAGGGAAAAAACATAAAGCAACATTTCTACAGACAATAAGCACGTTCAGATTTTTGTGTTATGCAGACACATATATCGACGTAGGTATCACAAAGTGTTGAGTTTTACATCTGAAATAGTATAAAGTAATCATAAGTACACCATCTTTTAAAGGTTTGGAAGATGATTGGAAGAAATGGACACCGATGAACTGATAAACCACATTTGCCACTTCATCAACTCCATTGCTGAGGATGATGAATGGAGCTACAAATATAATTTAATTTGATCCAGTGTTTAATATTCTTTTCTTCTTTTCATTTGCTGACAGCACATTACTTGTCTGTTTGCCTTTAAGTGACAAGTTCGAGTTGTTTGCCCAAAATATGGCCAGGGAAGAGATGAGCGGGATGC